ATTCTGTTATGTTGACATAGAAGATTTCTATGCGACGATAACGGTCGCGGAATAGCAGATAAAGATCGTAAATTCCAGATGCTTTTCTATGACGTCGTACCACGAATTATTAGCAACAAAACCATTTGGCTCGATGCAATGTAATATGTTATGACTAGTTTGAAATGTAATTTTGTTGAGTGTGGCTAGCTTCGTTTAAATGCAGATGGCCTCTAATCTCTGAAGGTTCTTTTTACTGTGTTTATGTGTGAGTATTGTTGTGTTATCAACTAATATATGTCTAATATTATGTACATGGCGATGTTTTTTCTAAGAAATGTTGTTTAATAGAACTAAGATCAGAAAGGTGACAGGTAAGTCTACGGGAAAGCGTGGTTGTAGTCAAACAAATATATGTAGTGGGTTTATTATTAGCATAATAAAAAAAATATCCAAATATTGGACAACTATTTCTTTATTTTCGCCCATACTATACGAAGTTTAGAAAGGCTCATGATCAAACATAATAGAAATTCGTTGTCTGTTATATTGAACAATATGTTTGAATAATGATCTGCTGTCCCAATTCACTAACTATTTATGAAAGTAAACACAGTCACCAATCAGTGTTTACATACGTTCTATACTTGATATTATGTAGTCTAACTCATATTGATACACACACACATATATATGCATACACATAAATATATACACACACACACACGCGCGCGCGGCTCGCGTGTGTGTGTGTGTGTGTGTGTGTCTATATGTATGTCTATATGGATATAAGCAACGATAAAATCACAAGATAATGAACACAAAAACATCTTTCAAACTATGCACACAAAACATCTTTCACAAATGGTAAATACGCGAACAGCACAATGCTTTCTACACATATCTAGGAAATTAAAAACGAAATGCACATCACACCAAAAATACCTTGGAAAATAAGGAAAAGAGCATCAGCCTACAACAACCAATCCAAAACTTGCAAACTTTGCTTGGAGGAAAAATAGTTGTCATTACCTTCCCAGACCAAAATAAATTATTAAATAAACGATCCGAGCTCATCTCAAAATGCAGACATGAAAACAAATTTTTACTACCTTTCTTAAAAAGTAAAAACTGAAAAAATACAAAATAAAATATAATAAATAAATAAAACATGACAATAAAATAAGTAAAATAATTTAACGCAAACAAATTACCAAATCACACTCGTTAGAACAGACGAAATAGAATTAAAAAAATCAATGTACCCAAATAAAGTAAATAATAAACAAATTAACAAACCATTATGACTAAAATATTAGTTACACTATAAAAATCAAATCAAAAATCGGACGAAAAAAACAGTAAGCTATAACTGTTTTATAACGATAAAAAAATACTACGTTACTTAAAAATGGAAAACCGAAAAGAGTAAATAACAATATACAGTATAATAAATAAATAATAAAAAACAAGTAAAATAAATTAATCTAAATTAACCCAAATAAATATTTAAATAAACAAAGTAACAAACCGTTTGGAAAAACAAGTAAAGATAATCAATCCAAATAAATAAATGAAGTAATAAACAAATTAAAAACTGCTCCCGCCAAAATAATAGTTAGAATAAATTACAGCAATCAACCCCAAAATTTAATAAATAGCTTTAATTATCTCCCCAAACCAAAAGAAACCATTAAATAAGCGATATAAAAAATTACTACGTTAATAAAACACAGATTAAAATAAAAATAAATAAATAAATGTATAAGATGAGAAATAAAAAAATAAAAATAGAATAAAAAATAAAAGTAAATAAAAACAAGCAAAATAATTTGAAACAAATAAATAAATAAATAAATAAGCAGATAAACGACTTCCGGTAAAATAACCGCCAAAATACTCTACCCACAATGTACCACTGAGGATGTCATTATGTATGTATGTAAAACTATCAAAAGGGGTATATCCGTAAAAGGAAAAAAAATCATAATAATTAAGTACAAAACTGCAGACCAACTGTTGAACCAAAGAAATTAATTTATTTTCAAATGTCAACACATATAAATAAATTTAAATTACCTTAAAATTATTTACTTTACACTTGTGAATTAGATTTTTATTTGTATATGTGTACAAGCATATATACGTGCGAGTGTTTGCAAATATGTATTTATGTGCATGTGCTTGCCGTACATGTATACATGAGTCGGAAAATGTATTTAATTATTTATATGATTATCATACGGATGTCTACATATATATATATATATATATATATATATATATATATATATATATATATATATATATATATATATATATATTTTTTATTTTCTTTGATTTCTGGCGTTTACATTTCTTTCCGGCTCCCGCCCAGGGACCTAAATTTAGAAATGGCATCATGACACTTTCCACTGAAAAAAAAAAAAAAAATAGATGGATAAAGCCCTTCGTAAAGTGTGGGCTGTACTTGTCAGAACAAATTTTTGAATCTCTTTGAGGCATGGACTTCCAGGAATCC